AAGCATCTTATTCTAGACTCCGAAAAGGTCCGTTGCCATTGCCAGAGACGTACGCTCTTTCGTCAGTTCCACACAGCCATCCGACGTCGCGTAAGTGAAGCGGCAGGCAGTATACTACCGCCCGTCGAGCGGACCGAAGTATCCTCGGAGCCCTCATCATTTCTTGATCTCCTCGAATATCTCCCGCGCTTCTCCCCGGACTCCCTCGGGCGTCCGACATTCTTCTCGGCCGACCTCTTTCCAGGCGCGAGAGCCGGCGCGAGACGGGGCCCTCCGCGCAGACAATACGTCTTCGATATCCCATCGTTTGTGATCGTTAGACGCTCGGGCCGCCGTCGATGAAAAGAACCGCGGAAATCCATTTGCGACAGGCCCGGCCCATCGCGAGAAATAACGCCGGGCGACGGGCGGCCGCGGCGGCGCCGGCAGACGCGGGGGGAGGGGGGGAGAAGCGATTGTTATTGCGTCCTGTGGAAGCGACGGCCACCGATACGCCGTCCCATCCCTCCCCCGCTTCCTCCTCCCGCTTCCTCTTCCGCTTCCCCTCGGCCGCCCTCCTCCCTCCCGTTACCTCCGCAAAGTGCTCCGCGCGTTGCAGACGCCGGCTGCGCCGTTTCGGGCAGAGGAAGGAGGCGTATTTGCTGAGATCAAGTGAAGGCAACAAGTCCTTCCCAATGTTTTAATGCGTGGTGATTCATCTTCAATACAAGTATAAAACGGAAGCTCAATGAATAATTTTGGGATTCCAAATTAACTAATCGTTGTTCATTGAAAAAAAACAACAACAATGTAGCATCAAATGTGACCTCCTTTCCGATTTGACTCTTGCGTTTTTGAAAGGTACTTTAGATTTTTTGTTTAAGTTATTATTTTAACAACCTATCGATTATGTATATTTTAATTACCTACCGATTATATATATTTTTAAGAAGAAAAAGAACTGAAAACAGTTTTTCATTAATGATCAATTTCATCACTTAATTCGTCACGTATTGTCGATAGACTTAATAGAACAGACTACCAAAGAACGGGTGGCACTTTGTTGAAATGCAAAGAAGTCACACGCAGTTATATCGACTTTGTAGATAACAAGCATAATAAGATTAGATTAGACTAGATTAGACAAGCATGATAAGATTAGATAATAATCATCATCCTACATTAGAAGAAAAAGTAAACGTGCAATTTAAGCAACGAATACGATCTTTCGCGACCTAACTTTGGCGTCACCGCGTCATCCCTTCTAGGGATTCGACAATTTCGTACTCAGCGTGTATCTGCGCACTGGTCGTTGTAGCGCTTCCTTCGCGTTTATGTTTTCCGCAGCCCTAGTGCACTTGCTTGTCTTCTTGTCTTGAAAGTATGTTCTGCATCATTATTTTTTTTCCAAAGGCTAAGCGGGCCAATGTACTTTATTTTTAGTGTTCTATACTTGTTTCTCATGCAGGATTTCCAAATTTATGAACTATCATTCCATGTAATATGACATACATTGCTTATGACTTGCGCTCTCCTTCTGGTGGCATAAAAATGTAAGTGTCACATTTTCGCCGGCCGCCTATTTGTTCGAATGAACACACTTTGTATATATTTGCATTTGTAAGTAGAAGTACTTTAAATGATTTCCAATAAAATTTCTGCCGAAGCCTTTCTGTGAAAAAGCTTCAAATTTCGCATTTACAGTAATCCTTAAACGACATTTTCTCAAAAACAGCTCTAAATTTTTCAACGAAAATTGTCATGAGACATGCTTGCACCCAATTGTAACATACTAAAAGTCAGGGAAAGTCATGGTTCAATTCTACCATTAGGACACGGAAAATTTGAAAAAATGTATAAAAAGTGCAGTTTTGCCGGCGATAGATGACAGCTGGGAAGAGGATGGGGCAAGACCGAAGAGCTAGCCCAGACCAAAGAAATTCAAAAACAACAACTAATTAGTAAGAAAAATGCTGTGCCATTCTGTAGCACCACTAGTTCTTGTATCTTTTACCGCCGCTATTGCTTTTGTCACAATAGGGAGTCGAAACGCTATGTCAATACTATAGTAGTTTTGGGCATGTAAACTCTAACGCATTTCACATTATTAATATTCATCAGATATATTTTAGTTATTAATAGTAAAACGTAATAATTAGTTTATGAAAATTTGATACGAATTTTGAAATGTGTTTTTAAATTACATCCTTTTTGTCAGAAAACGAAATATTTATTTACCTAGTATTTATTATGATAAATACATTTGAAAATATATTTTCGTTCAATTAACACATGTTTACTAGTTGTTGGAAAAAGTAGTTCTGAATTCTCTGCAGAGTGACTCCAAATACACAAAATACAACTCCATTATAACAAAACATTACTATGTTCGCAAACGAACTGATAACGATATAAAACCGATTTTATTGTATTTTGAAGACTGTCCATCAGCCAGACACAATCAGGTTGTGGGGAACATCATTTCCCTGAACTGAAGGGAATGATTAAGCTGACAGTTTAGCATCTTATTTCCAGGAAAGGCATAACGTTCTCAGAAATCCAATTCCCCTCCCAGCTTCACAATCAATAACAGACGCGAAGACAGTTAAGTGCATAGATTACCATCGCACAACCTCTCATTTCCCCCTCTTCACGCCCTCAACCCACCTCGCCAAGCGCGCGTCTGTCCGACTCGTGTCCAGGAAACCCCGCTCGCCCGCAGACCGACGCTTCGCGACGGCGAGATCCCACAGACACGCCCCCTTCACCGCCTCCGCGATAACGAGGCCACACCAGGTAGGGGCGGTCTGATTAGCTGGCTCTGACCGCGGAGCGCGGGCGCGAGGGCGGAAGAGGGTGACGGCGAGGGTGCGGGGCGCCGGAAGGGGGGGGGGCGCCTCGAGGTGAGCGCGGGGTGAGCGCGCGGTGAGCGCCGCCTCTCGCGAGGATATTGATCACCGCGCCGCGGCCGGTGAGCGCGCCGCGCCGGCATCGCCCCTTGATTGGGCGCGTGGGCGGTGACGAGAGGAGCGGGCGCGCCGACAGACGCGGGCCCGACGTTGCGGAGGGCCCGAGTCGATGGAACATGTGGTGTCGATACCCAGAACAAGCAATATCGATATCCATCCTCAGCGGTGCGCGCTCGCCGGTAATACCTAACCTCCACCATCGTTGTTTAATGTTGGAAACAGACACGTCAAGTGCTACCGTCTATTTAATCCCGTAAGTGTAAAGAATGTCTTTTTGTGAGGTGTCGGTGTTTTTTCCACGCTAGGAGGTGTCATTCGACGTCCTTATACGACGTCGTTACACATATTATTTAAAGCAAATGTACTTATAAATACAATTTTTGTAAAAATCGCCAGTAATGTAAATATTAGAGACGCGAGAGAGATGTCAAAAAATTGCACTGGTGAAATTTAAAAACAAAACAAAAAATTGAGCAAAATGGTGTTGTATTCTGTTAGAGTACATTTTGCACAAACCCTACCAAAAGTTCAAAGAAAAAATTTGGAGCCATTTTTGAGAAATTATTATTTTTGTTATTTTCTAACATTGCTCTCATTTCACTCAATATCGGGCAAAAACAACTAAATAATGTACCTAAATCTAAGAACAAATTTTGGAGAACAAATTTCATTCTGAAAAATCTTCGCCTTCTATCTGGAGGTTTCCATCTCCAGGTATCTCCCCCCAGAGGGGTATCGCCCTAGGCGGGACGAATTATAAGCTCCCGACAAGGTAGTGTGCGGGTAAGAAAGGAAAAATAATAGAGCAAAGAAGAGGAAAGAAGAATGACTCGTGGCCTGTGTGTAACGGTACTGCTCCGGCATTCGACTGATGATCGACTGTTGATCTGAGAACCACGTAAAACTACCGATTAGAGCAGTCAACAGCTAGACTTCTCCTCCATATACTGGTTGCACTGGACTCAGATAGCTAGTGTCAGATAGTGTCAAAAATACGCCACTATCGGGACTCGAACCCTAGAACGTCCCGGTCAGAATCGCGGCAGCAGTGACTCTGACGGGAGGTCCTAGCGTTGTCGCTAGCGGTGATGCGAGTGCGATGATGCGTTGATTACGAGCTGACTCTGGATTACACTGAGCCGCAATGCAATCATTTTCCAATTTAAAATTACAAGAATATGTATTATCAACTGTATAGATACATTTAGTCAGCGGGAAACAATTCAGAAGAGGCTCTTTAGTAAAACTGCCAAACAGCGATTTTTACTTCACTTTTTTTCTCTAGTTAATGGGCAACATCAAGAACTGGCGACGGTCATTGCGAAATACGCGCAGCTAGAAATGAGCCGTCCTTGAATATATGAGATCTTTAGTATCATGTGCAGCAACTGGAAAATATATAGTACTTCTATGTATATGATTAGATCGGATCGAACCGACTAGAGACATTTCCCTGGAAGTGTGTCTGTGAAGCAACCAGAACGCAATCTCCTCGGCGTCGCATACGTTGCCGACACCAGTGACCAACAAATTGACGTACGTCGTCAAATGTATTGCCTGTCATTCATTTGATTTCGATTGAAAATCATTCACAATCTGATGATATGAATGACATTGATTTACCTTACAATCACTTTCTTCAGCTGGCACATAGGTGCAGAGATATGCGTATGTGCGTCCGAAGCGTCTTTTCATTATATTTATTTAAATCTAATGAAGAGAGTTAAGAATATTTTTTAAAACAGCACAAATAGTGGTAACAGCAATGAATGATACATTAAATATGCATTAATAGAAACTTATAATTGATGAAATATTCATGAAAAAGTACTTTTCTATTACATTATTCGTATTATTTATAAGATCGTTCACCCTAAAAGAAAGAGGATTCTTAAAGTGCCATGACGACACAACAAGTTTCAAAAATTAAATATTTGTCATTTTAAATTAAACATTTTGAAACAATGTAATTGTTTGTTCGACTAATAAATATAAACTTTTGAGAAACGTAGCATTTTTCAAAATTACAAAATCTTTGAAGGTTCTACTTACCAGTAGAGCCTCCACTTCTTTGCTGGATGCCGTCGCATGGTAAGACAATACCTGCGCCCACAGAAATAAAAGTATTAGTATGCAGAATTTTGTTCAAAGGAATCTGAAACATCAGAAGTATGTTTGTTGATCAACGCTACGAACAATGAGATAAAAATAAACAATGAGCTAAAAACTGAGAATGAATTCAAAGAAACTAGGTTTGATATCATATTTGAAATAACTGTCAAGCAAAGTTATATAATTACTTCAAATGTTGCTTTTAAAGAATTACTGTGAATTGTTACAATAAAATCTGTCAATGACACTGAATAATCTTTTATTTAAAAATTGTTTCAAACATCAAATTTAATGTTTGTTAATTTTATTTGATATTCTATAAGTACATTGGAAGATACCTTTTTACATTTTTAAACAAATAAGTACGTTTTGTTAACAACTTTACCTCTTAATATGGAAATGGAAGAATAGAAAAGAGGGTATAGTTTAACATTCGTGAGTTCTCGCATGAGTACGCTAGAAGAATATAAAATTCGTGAAAAAGGGACTTGCACAGTTATTAAAGAAAGGTGACATTATTTGATTACAGTTCTATTTTCTCTGTGTAGAATGTTACTTCGTATCATCAGTCACCGCTGCTTGTAATTCACGAATTTACAAATTTCTTTACTTTTTCTGAAGCGTCTTTTAAATTATTCATAGATTTGCTCAGTACAAATTTCTTCTGTTACGAGTTATTTGGTTGGTCTATACTACTATTCATACACCTCGACCTCTTACTCCGTGACTGCACCAGAATATCACAAAAATGTTGTCACCATTGTACACGCTTCTCAGCACAGAGATAAAAGACGCACGTGCCACGTATGGGTCAGCATATGCCACAACTATTATTATACACGCACATAAATTCCTATCTTTGGAATGCCAACCCCTACGCCTTTAGTAACATTAGTTGAATTAAGAATGCATCTTACCGCCCAACGTTGTTGGCAAAATTTAATTTTCACATATGTTCGTCCCCGAATAACAGAACTATTTTGCTTCGAAAAATGAGTTACATATTTGAAACAGTCCTGTCGTCAAAATACTCCTTTCTTTTCTAGGATATAGCTGACTCAAGAAAACGTGCGCGGATAATAAGTACTTCTTCTTCGACACGGCGAAGGGAATATAGAAATAGACGAGTCCAGGCACGGGGAAGGTGGTGGCCGCAGGCAGCGCCAGAAAGGCTCATCGCCGGGGGCAGAGGTGGCGCGGCGGTGCGGTAAACAACCTGCGCCCGGAACCTCGTTATTCACTGGCCGTTGCGCACACTGGGTCGAAATAGTTCGAACACCGCGCACACCATAACTTCGTAACAAATTCGTCATATTACTAAAAGGATGGGCACTAAAAGATAGTACTGAATGCCTACAACACTAAGATTAATGTAGCAAAACAATGCATAAATGGCTATTTCTAAATTGAAAATGTTCGAAATTACTGTAGCCGAATCGACTAATCTAAGACATCGATCAGTGGAGTTGGCGCCTCTACATGGATGTAGAGGATGCCTCTACATGGATCTCAGTAGGTTGGAGGTGGGTTAACCAGGATATACTGCTGGTCAAGATATGTGGCTGGACGGCCTTGACAATTCTGTGGGGAGTCTTGGACACGTACAGAAGACGCTGTACCTGTTTTAGCTACAAGAATTATAATATGAATGCAATGAGCACTGAATCTAACTGTCTTACCAAGCTTATTGGAAAAAAATAGTTATAAAAATTGATAAGATTTTTTAATTGTGAGAACTTCACAGTTATATATCTTTGTTTTACGGATATTTCACTTGATTGATTTTACAGATTTTTTACTTGATTGATTCTTTTTTCTACAACGCTTTTGAATGACCTCCTCTTTATATTCTATTGAATTAAACTTTTGAAAGTGGTCGGTCGGAAGAGCAGGTCAACTGAGCCTCATCAGTTCAGTGTACATCAAAACGCTTAATATTTTAGCAAAAATAATTAGGTAAAAGATCTAATTATAATTTACTCGCTAATTCTTGTATAAACAAAATGTAAATAAAAAATCATCTAAAATAAGTTTCAGTTTAGGGAACAGACAAAAATCATGAAAATTGGAATCTAGTGGACCTCATGATCAACGTAATTTGTTGATGAAGAACTGTAATTCAAATTCTAATTCTTTATTTCGAAATCCACGTAATGTATTATAATACGGGAGCCCCGTACATTATTCTCTGCAAAGAGAAAATATTGCTACAAGTCGCAATCCGGTATCTCTCGATACGAAAAAAATACTGAAAGTTGAAAAGTTCCTTCATGAACCGGAAGTAGAAGTAACATATTACATTGATTTCTCTCATTTTCAAGCATGTCAAATTTCTTTTCTCGAGTTTTGAAACGATGCGCTTGCCTGAAAGTCGCAAACATGTATAGGCGAGTTCTTGGAGCCCTTTCGACCCACTGGTGGGCGCGGCCCTTCAAGCCCTTAGGGAGGGCGCCGGCCGCCGCGACACGGCCCTTTGAGGCACCCTGCGTGCAGGTGGCGGCCGCCGGCCAACTCATGAATGAACCGAGCTCCCGCAGGCCCCAGGGCCCCGCCCTCCCTCCCAACCCGCCCCTCCCCCCTCCCCGACCGCCTCAGACGGACCGCTACCTGAGTCCGTGCACGTCCGCCGCATGAATGAGGCTCGCGGCCGATCTATATGGAACGAAAGGGAAAGGATGAATCACAGCCGCCGCGATCAACAGACCCAAATGTCAAGGCTGCTCGGCGAAGGCGGTTGCAGGGTTCGTCATAACCATCTCGGTGTCCGAAAGCCTCGGAGAAAGAGATTCAAATTCCACCGGTCGGGCTATGTAAACTTTTTTGATAAATGCCGGAAGGTATTGTGTACTATTTTTTCTGACGCGAAGTAATAACTTTTCCCATTCCATATATCTGTTACTCTATCTACTCGTATTATTTTTCACGGACTGCTTTCGACAAACGTAATTAGGCGTCCGGATGTGATTCAATTGACATTCGTAAGTGCAGATTTTATTAATACCTCTCCACACAATTTGTAGAAGATTGAAAGAAATAAACTTTATGTAAAGATTATTGAAAGACATACAAGTGAGCTATGACATGTGACTACAACAATCTTTCATTTCCGAAATAACAGAGCATGCGAATCATTAATCACTATTTGTGACATTTCAAGAAAAGTTCTCGTGCTTTTGAATGCTTTAATTTATTTTGGTATAAGTAAAGCATGTAGAGTTAAACACACACATACATACACACACACACACACACACACACACACATATATATATATATATATATATATATATATATATATATATATATATATTTGGAGGTTGAAACGTATACTGCATTAAAACAACGAACGGGAAGAAGGCAATTACAGAGAGATGTGTTTTTGCAACAAAAATTTGAAAAAACAGCAATACATAATTTTATTCCAGTAGTTCGAACTGAGATATCAATAAAAAATATTACAATTAGAAAATTTCTGCGAAAATACTAAAAGGAGATGAAAATACTCACCTCGATTGCGACTTTTTGCCTCGCCATCGCTTTCTCCACCTCACTGTACATTAAAGTGTTGTGAATTCCAAGGCCACAGAAGATGCTAAATGCCTAAAAATAAAGAACATTTAATTTGAAATTAACAATTTTTTTGTGTATAGTAATTTCAATGCAGTAATAAAAACATTGAAAAGCATACATTTGAAAAATACAATCTCTAATACTATACATATAAAGTGAATATTAATGAAGTATTTCTACGATAATACCACTATCACTGAAATATAAATGTTGACTATAGAAACTTTGACCCAGAACTCTGACTTTAATAAAATGGAGTTTTGATGAGGAACTGAACCTTAAACCTGATTGTACGAAAATTCTGAAGATAGCATTTTTCTTTAATACTGTAATAGAATGTGGAGTGAAATCGTGAATGGAGGTTTCGATCAGTAACTCAAGTTTAAACTCTAAGATACCACACCTGAAAATCGTATCTCACTAGGAATTATCTTACCCCTACGAGAAGAACACTATTACCTCTTTTATTACGTTGTTACTTCATTCCACAAAACCATATTGCAGGTGTAACAAAATGGTTTCCTCATTAGTGACGCCGAGACCACCATCTCGACATGGCACCCTGTCGCAGTTTCGGGTCCACTTTAGCCCGCCTCGCTCCACTCCATCTCGCTCCACGCCCCGCCCCTTTCCCTCGAGTGCCCTTGCACCTCCTCCTACCGTTCTCCGCGTCCGACGGCGCTTCATTAAGGGAATTTGGCGGGAAGGAGACGGCAACGCAAATGGCCGCCGCTTATGGAGACGAGCGGGGTTAAGGGAGCGCGGGGATACGGCAGGCAAATTCGCCGCGTTAAGATTCGGAGCGGGCGGAGCAAGGAGAGCAGCGCGAAATTTACTAAGTTGCTTGTCTTAAATACGGGATTTGCTGTCAGCGAGTGCATCTACGTTATTGTGACGGGAGCCCGCTGGCGATAAGGATATAATGTATTGTACGTGAAGTACTCCTTAGTGAAATATTCGAGCAACGAAGAGTTAAAGAAGATAGCTCTCTATCGTTGGAGATGTGTTCAACTCCAGTGTATCTTAACGGTGCTAAATAAGACCAATCCACAAGTCGGGTTAACAAGAAAGGAACCCTTCGTGCAATGTTTCGCTCTTGTACAATTTTTGAATATGTTAGTTTACTTGGACCATCTCTTCGTCACTTCTTAGATATCAGTTGAGGAACGTAATAAAATTTGTAAAACAAGCCAGATTACAATATTAAAAGATTACTACGCGTTTCAATAATTGATATCTTACGAAATAGAGGAGAGTTTAAGAAAAGAGACAGAAATGTTGGTTTACTTGCAGTAGGTTCACAAACAATAGCTTAATGTAGAGGCCAAATAATAATTATTTAATTGCAAGAACGTAAATACAAACTCACCTCAAAGAGCTGCTCGTCATTATCATCGAACGGCGACCCGTTGAGCTTGTTGATGATAGTGGCCACACCTGCGAATAGACGGAAAATCATACCTGAAGCTCTCTTACCATACATGGTTTCTTTATTGGTAAGAGAATTATCGCTGTTGGAGAATAAAAATAGATAACTTTAGTAATAAACATTATAAGAGACCACAACGAATTCGTCCCATTATATTGAACTGTGTGAATGCTAATCATCTGCGAACCTTGGTTACCAAATTTCACTACACAAACGTATATTCATGAGAACACTGTAGACGAGTGCTACCATTTGCCATAGTATTTTCTCGAGACTTCATAATTCTACGTGGGGAAATTACTTTCCGGAACATGATTAGAATACTTTTATTTTAGCTTGTTGGATGGAAGGATGTTATTATAAAAATATCTATCGCGAACAAGCCGATGGGTAATCATCAATTTATTATTATTATTATTATTATTATTATTATTATTATTATTAATAATAATAATAATAATAATAATAATAATAATATTATTTTTGTTAAATAATATATAAGTTAGTATGAATTAAAATTTAAATTTTTGTTAGATTTATTTGCATGGATATAAATTACGGGTTGATATGCGAGCAGGAAAAAAACGTAGAAAACCCTCCAGTGAGAAAAAGTCTAATGCGGAAGAGCGTTCCTCCCAATCACAAGAAATCGGACAGAGCGTGACGATATTATGTTTTCGAGTTCCCGTAACCGTTAGTGCGGCGCGGCTAGGAAATAAATGACGGTGCTTCCCGAAGTAAACTGCCCGGAAGATGAGCGATGCCGATCCTGAGACTCCAGGCAGTGGTGGTTCGCGGAGTAAGGGAAGATTTAGGAATAGGGGTAGGGGTGGGGTGGAGATGGGGACAGAACGGACGAGTGCGGCGGTGGTGGGTAAAACGGAACGAAGTGATGCGGTGGGATGACGGTATTAGGAGAGAGACTCAGGAACGAAAGAAAAATGGTATGGAACGATTGATTAATGTTTCCGGGCACGTTATTGCCATTGCCATTAGTTCTGTTAGTGTAGTGAATATGTTATTTCCGAATGTGTTGGTAATACTCAAATATTAAACAGTGAGATACGGTCGCGACCTACAAGTCAGTTTGGTGAATATTTCCCTCTCCAGGCATCTCCCCCTGAGGGCACCGCCCCAGCCGGGACAAACTCTAAGCTTCCGACTGGTCCCACCTTGTGTGCTAGTGCTGTGCATGTAAGTGTGTGTAAATAATGGGAGAGTATAGGACAAGGAAGAGGAAGAAAAGAATGCACGAGGTCCGTGACCCGTTTGTTAGGATACTGCATTCGCCTGGTATTAATCGGAAAAATACTGAGCGGAACAGACGGGCGCTACAATTCTCCTTCAGACAGCGAATGAATTCGACCAAGCTACGTAAGTAGCATCGCAATTCCGCCACAGCCGGGTCTCGAACGCAGGACCTCCCGCCCCGATGGATTCCGGTGGGTAGCGGCAGGTCGTGGGGGGGGGGGGCAAGAAAGGGGGGGTAAGAAGGGGGAAGAAGGTAGGCGACCCGAGGTCGGCTACACGGGTGAAGGGAGCAAGCAGAGCGGATTGGCCTCGGATCAGCGACTCTGCGGTCGCGCGCGCCCGGGTCCTTTCCGGCCGATCTCGTTCCGCCCTAGCGACTCGCCGCGGAAATTCCGTTCGCGCGGAAGACTCGTTGGCGAATTCGTCGCGGCAGCTGATGGGGAGAATGTGCTGGTGGATGCAGAGACAACACTGTGATTAACCGTACTACTAGAAAAGGCAAGAAGAAAAAGCATTTGCGCGAAAGAAATGAGATCACGTATAGAGCTGAAGCATTTGTGCAAAATTAAGCTATCGCCAAATCAGACGATTGTAATGGCGTCTTAGCCGAAATCGAGCTAAACAATAACGATGGAGGGGAAAGAAGATTTGAAAAATTAAATTTACAACATTACGGTTGTTTCACTAATACTGATCATTCGAATTATATTTGATACTTTATTTACAACTTTGATTTAATATATGAAAAAATATACATTCGTAAAAATAATTGCTCAGTAGCTGGTACATCCGAGTTTAAGTCATTTAACAAATGAAGTTCATACAGATTAACTGGAAAAGTATTCATTTTACCATGCCTCAGCAGTATTTGGATAATTCTATCATTACTGTTTTTATGAACATAATCACCAATGTTAAAGTATTAGTGAAAAGTATTTTCAATATCAATATCGCAAGAAGAAATAGCGCCTGTTTCGTCGTCCCAAGAAATACCTCGTTTCTCCGCTAGTTGGTGAAAGGCGCGTAGCGAAATTTGCGTGGTCAGAACGGAAGAGCGGGCCTGATGTCCCAGACCTCACCACGTAAAATAAGGCATTAATTCAATTCACTTCAATAGTATTATAAATTAATCTCATAGATTGCATTATATTTCAACACTGTAAGACAACTCCCATACCAAGAAGGTCTGGTGTAGGCACAAAGATAACTTCCGCAAGAATAATATTTTTCCCTTTCACGTCCTTGGCAAGTAGAGTTCAGCGAGAAAATGGAAATTGAGATTGCGGTTAGATGTGCCAGAGAAGGTAGTCTGGATTCTGGGGAGATGAGTCCAGGCGTAATGTTCACGCGAGTTGATCTGAGCGGGGAGCACAACTGGCTCTGGAAAGAGGACACAGACGCTGAGGGCGGCCAAAGCATTCCCGCGCGTGTGCGAAGAGGGCAGGCCAGATACACGCGGACAAGAGGAGCGAGGAGAAACGTGCGGCAGGGGGCAGCGTTGAGGCAGGTGGGGGGAGGGTTTCGGGGAAGAGTTGCGAGGAGGGTGTTGGAGGAACGGGGTTGGGGAGAGGGATGGGGGGAGGGTGTTGCAAGAGATAAGTTGCGGGGATGGGGTTTGCATGAATGGGGGTTGCTTGGATGAGGTTACGGGATAGGGTTGCAAGGAATGGGGTTGTGGGGGATGGGGTTGCATGAATGGGGGTTGCTTGGATGAGGTTACGGGGATAGGGTTTTGCAGGAATGGGGTTGTGGGGATGGGGTTGCATGAATGGGGTTGCTTGGATGAGGTTTACGGGATAGGGTTGCAGGAATGGGGTTGTTGTGGGGATGGGGTTGCGCGAGATGGGGTTGCAACGATCGGGGTTGCGCGGGATGGAGTTGCGGGGATGGGGAAGCGGGGACGGGGTTTCGGGGACGGGGTTGCGGGAATGGAGTTGTTGGGGATGCGGTTGCGGGAACGGGATTGCGGGGACGGAGTTGCGGAGATGGGATGCGGGAAAGACTTGTGGGGATAAGGTTGCATGTACGCGGGGGTGGGATACGGATGTGTGGTTGTGGGAATAGGTTGTAGGATTGCGGGGATCGTGTTGTTGAAATGGGGTGGCCAGGAGAAGGCGTGAGGAGGGTTTGGGGGACGTGGTGACAGGGAAGGGTTTCGATGAGGGGATTTGCGGGACCAGCGAGGAGTTTCAGAAGGGAGGGTACGGGAGGGGGTTGGGGAGGAGGGTTGGGTGTGAGTTTGGGAAGGGGTTGGGATAGAAGGTGGGGGGGAGGTTGGGGGAGAGATTGAGGGAGGGGGTTGGAGGAGGCGCTGGGGAGTGTTTGGGTGAAGAGGTTGGGGGAGGTGGATGTAGAGAGGGTTTGCGTGGAGAGAGGATGTGGGGAGGGGAGCGGGAGAGCGATGCAGCATAAGGACGCTAAAGAGGGTTGCGGGAGAGGTTGGGCGGTCGGTGGCGGGTGAGGAAGTTCGGGCAGAGAAGCGGCGCAGCCTGGCCCCTGGCATCGGCATGCAAATGCGGCCGGGCACTCAGCCGCGTCGCCGACCGCCTAATAGGCGCCGCGAGGCCCTCGGCAGATAAGACGCCGCCGCCTGCCCCGCCCCCTTCGCAGGCGGCCAACTGGGCGCTTCGGCTTTCCCAGTTATCTGCCTCGATGCCTGTGCTCCAGCTTCTGGCGATACGACTGAGAGGAACATTAAGCTAAAATTAGTACATCAGTCTTTGCCTTAAATACATTTTTTCAAGAAGTTGTAATTGTATTTTGTTACGTATTGTTTTTATAATTTTAATTTAGCCTGAAGGCAAAAATAATTATTTTCGAAACTGATTATACCATTATGGAAGTTAATTGAGTAGGTATTACACATAGTAAATAGGCTATATATTGTATTTTTAATTTGATTTAAATGAAAATCTGGTATTTTAAAATTATATATTTTGTCTACAAAAAAACGACCAATTTGTGAAAATTACATCGAAGTACAATTCTTCACGAGCAATGCAATCATTATTGCTGTTTTTTTATGAAGTGCATCTTCAAAAAAAGCAAACGCTGGATCTCGATTAATGACTTCCTGGTACACTGACTCATTATTTGCGTAAGATTTGACAAAAATCAATCTTTAAAATGTTGTATAAGTCACTGATTTAGTGCGTAAGTTTTTTTTTTATTTTACCAACGACAAAAATACTGTTTTCTTTGGTCGTGGGTCTGAGCGATATTTTATGCTCTTTGACAGCCCTGTGACCTTTCATCTTGGACTGTCTTTTTTTTCGTTTAAATGTCGTTCTTTCGAAATGAGCGAATGAGTCAATATGCCTCGGAAAAGCCAATTACTACTTGTTAAGAAAGAGCCTTTGAAGAAAAAGCCTTTGGACGAAGTAAATTTGAATGTATTGCAAACTCATTTCATATAGAAACTAAGTATATACAAAGTTACCGGAGAATATGAACGATTATGCCTTCCCATCACTGGAGAACTAAATAAGAACGAAAATTGAATGGGAAAATACTGCAATAAGAATCGTTGGTAAGAGCAAGATTTTGAAAATAAGGATAGGTGTAAAATGGGAGCTTGGGAAGGGGAAATACAAGCAAGAGAAAATTGTAGATAATATATTATTGACTACCTTCTTTATTTTCCTATTATTATTTTTGAGATTCGTAGAAATTCCTTTGGTAAATCACCGCACATCCGTTATCTGCAGAATTGTGTATAGTCGTGTGCGCATAAGAATAATATAATTTCTTTGACATTGTTATTAAGTGTAAATTTAGTAAAATGTACTAGATAAATTATCCATAAAATTATCTTTGACTTTCCAAGAACCAATGTCACGGTAAATGTAAACATATTTCAAATACGTTTTAGAGAAGTATACGAGCAATTATTCATAAATTGACCTTTGATTTTAAAAAGAATCAACGTCACTGTAAACGTAAATATACTTTAATGAGAGCGTATGCTTCCGCTGCCGGAGTCAGTATTTAATTGGCTGTCCGGGTGACGCCGCGTCCATGGCAAAGGTGCCATTCCAAAAGACGTTTCGGTCGCCATTCTGCGACCTTCTTCAGAGCTTCATGCGACCTTACGCCCTGAGGAAGGTCGCAGAACGGTGACCGAAACGTTGGAACCTTTGCTACGGACGCGGCGTCATCGGGACAGCCAATTAAATCCTTTAATGAAATTTATGGGAATGCACAAGAAGAATTATTGATTCTTGAAAGTATCTTTTGTTTCATAAGAATCGCTGAGCGCACGTTGCCGCCGCTGCCCTTTTCATAAGAACCGCTGAAATGCACGCATGATATAATGAAGGGGGCGTGGCTCACCGATGGTCTGGTAGTGGCGGTTGCGGATGGGCATGGCGAGCAGCGAGCGCACGTTGCCGCCGCTGCCCTTCTCCACCTCGAGGCTCTCGGCCACGTTGAGCACCTCGCCCGACTGCACCACGCGCTCGGCCAGGCGCAGCATGTAGCGCGACACGTTGCTGCCCTCCACCACGGGCTGCCGCGGGCTGCAACACGCGCGCCGCGGACCCCCCACCGCGCGTCAGCGCGGCGCCAATCATCACCCTCCACAGCTTTACGCTTCGTGTGGTGGGAGACAATCGAAGCGGTCTGTACTGGGTTCAACAATGTTCCAACTGAACGTTGCAAAATAAAAAACAAGTAAACTTTACTCAATTGCAAAGTGAACTGAAAATGAACTGCTTGGGGAAGCTTAGGCTTCCGCGGCCGGAGTCAGTATCTACTTGGGTGTCCGGGAGACGCCGTGCCGCGTCCTATGCACGCATGTCAACGGTTTAAGTCATGATACGACCTTTCTCAGGGTGAAGTGCCACGAGTGCGTGTAAATGCGTTCTGCTATATGTAAATAAAGACGTAGGCTGGCGCGACCGCAGTCAGTGTCAACTAGTCTTTAGATCAAGTAATTCCTATCGTAAGTAAAGGTATTCACCAGCCGTAATCTCGTATGAGGGGTCAATTTTTAGCTCACAAGAACGAAGTAGATGTAGCCCCGAGAGTGTAAGTATAACAAATATTACGATAAATCGAGCTAACCAAATAAATAATTAAATAAGGAGAAAAATAATTTGAGAGAGAAGAACAGTATACGTATTATTAAATAAATAAGTAAAAATAAATTTTATATAGTTGTTCTTTAATGGAAATAATATCAACATTACTGTATTAAAGGATGAAATAAAAGAATAGATTACTATATCAACTCTAAATTTTACTAAGTTTGCTTACGAGTGCAGATATTACGATACGAAGTCTAAGAAAACGCTACAGAATATTTAAAAAAAATGAAACCCTTATTCTAGATGCGATTTGCAGGTTGTCCTAACACCCATAGCTTCTCATTTCAAGAATCTTTAACTAATAAGAAGAAAATAACAAATGTGCATTCGATATACGAGTACCTTATTGAATGTACACGTTTTCTGGCTGTATCTCGTAGATCTGTAATATCAATAATGTTGGCATAAAATGTATGGCCTCTAGACAATTTGGAGGAGTAACCTCACCTTATAAAACATTAAGACCAGTACGTTCAATTGTTTGAATGAAAAGGTGATGTTATGCGGGGAGGGAAAAACATACCCCGAATTAAAACCTAAATTGCAATTATAACTTACTTATTCTGGTAAACGCAGTCTCATATGCAAGTAATTGCATTCCCTGAAATTTTGGCTCTCTATGCACGCAGCACTGAGGAAATACAATTTTATTGCGATGACATGTGTTAATCAATTCCCAGGAGAAATCTGTTGAAAAATTCTCGAGTGTATGCTACGTATATTAACATTCCACTCCAACGACTCTGATTGACTTGGCATGAAAAGCCTTCATATATTGCTTTCAAAAAAATTACATGGATCTCATTGACTAAAATTTCAGAATTTTTGACGCTCTTGACATTAATGTGCTCCGCAATGCGTGTTCGCATCAGTCATTAAGGTTGTCACCGAAATTCATTTTTGGTAAACGACAGGTTAATACATTTTAGCGCTTTTTATGGAATTTCAATGTCGCTTGATAAATTATTTTTCCGACATTCATGCTCATGACTATTTAAAAAGAAATTGTAACTTGCGTTCATTTGGCAAAGTGTTTTACTGAAACTCTAGCGATCATGATCTTTAGAACTGAAAATCCCGATAATGTAAGTAAACACCAGAATTATGCCAGCATAAAGTGAATGAATTGTATGAAATGTATCACTTCTTAATTATTACCCAACTAAGCAAACAGCATTCAGGATGGCAGGAACTAGGGTGAAAGGGCGTTGGACCGAGATGGGTGTTCTTCCTGGAAGCTCTCTGCATCTGTAATATGTCGTCCATACACGCTGAGATTCGGAGCAGAAAGTTGGAACTTTGCGAACAGGCTATTAACTTCTCAATCCCGCCAGGGCAATGATACATCTACAAAGTTTATTTTGTGACTAGCGGAAGTTTTGCATTGCGTTGCCAAATACGAATCCTGGTGAATCTGACTGCTGAATACGAATAACAAAATTGCAGACATCTATAGTTCTCAGTGTTCACGAAACTTTTGAAAAGCAAAGGGCTCCCCCGGATAAGATGGTAAAATGTTCCCTGAAACCAAATGACATATGGCTGGTAACACTATAACTCTAACATAAAAATAATACTTTTGAATGTTTTTTTAAGCCCGGGCCCACCACATCCCTCTACAGCCAAAAACATTTTTTAGTTTTATTTTTTTCGCCAAGTTAATACTATTTTATCTGTATGAAAAAAATTGACAAATAAGAAAATAATTCTCACTGTTAGAAAAATAGCTTTTTTAATATTTTTTCTTCTCTTTTTCACCCAAAACAATATTTTTGAAAAAAAATAAAAAGGCATTTTTACTTTGTCTTAAAACCCTGGAACTGCTTGAAAAAAATTTCAAAAGTTCCTCTTAAAATACTTACTGAATTTTTTTCAGATTTTTCGACTTTGGGCTGCAGTTAAAAAAACAACAATTTTTACCATCTCCCTGCCTTAAATCACCTTGGCGTTAAACATACTTTGAAAATGACTGCATGAGTTCTGTGTACTTATTATACACTTGTATACATTGTTGAAGCACCCCGTAATATCTTTATTTTGAATCATGTTTCAAAATATCATGTTTTTAAAGCTTTGTAATCCTTTGTAAGTATATCATACGCTAAGGAAAGAATATAGTTTTTGTCCGTTTATAAGACATTATTTACACAAAAAACTTGTAACAAACACAGATTACTGCAACGCACCTCATTTATTCAATCTTATTTTACATATATTATTGGCTTTCATTATTTGACGGATAGGTTCACGTATATAATTAACCCTTTAAACGGTAAAACATTATGTTTATTTAGTCACATTATGTACGTCTGAGAATAATATGTGACCAAATAAACTTAATGTTTTAAAGTGTTAATATGTTAATTTTATTCGTAAACCTGTCGGTTTTAAAGATTTTAATTGAAACGAGATCGCTTTTTCATGTATCAAAACAACAAACGCTGGCATTTGAAACGATCCATTTCACGTTCCAGTTGTCAAAAACTGCGATTTCAAGTAAGAAATCCCAAGAAGCCCCCTCGGAAAACAGCAGCCCAACCTGAGTCGAGGGCGGATCGCAGGTGGCTGTGACGTCGAGAATCGATGGCCCACCCACAAGGCGCAAACTTGGGGTCGCGGCGCGGCGCAGCGCGGCCGCTGCGACAGATTGACGCGTTAAGAGGCAATAACGGCAAATGGGTGTTGCGAAGTGGGTCGACAGCTCGCCAGGTGAAAATCGCGGAGCGCGCCGCCAGAGAGCGGGATGCATGCGACGCGCGCGCTCATTGCGGAGGTTGCAGGAACTAGGGTGAGAGGGCGTTGGACCGAGAGGGGCCGGGTAGGTGGGGGGAAGGTACTTCCTGGAAGCTCTCTGCACCTGTAATATGTCGCCCCTGCACGCCCTGAGATTTGGAGCAGAAAGTTGGAACTTTGCTAAGAGGTGATTAACTTCTTAATGCAGCCGCTCGACGACGGCTTGGAGTCGTATCGCAGCGTCAAAGTTCCGGACGTTATGAGGAGTAAATGGTTGAGAACGTTACAGGGTTATATGAACGTGTGTGATGAACAAAATATTGGGCTACATATGAGTTTTTGTATGGCAGTGATATTCGGTATTACTAGAATAAATATCGAAATAGATACAAAATAGACGAATTGTATACCTCAAATATTGGGTTAACTAATTCTACAATGTACACACAGAAGAAAGTTTTCGAATTGTATCCATTCTGCGATCACCAGAAAAAGGGGAATTTAAATTTAAAAGGAATTCTGTAACCTTTTTCTGGGGGTGTTAGTTTTTTTGTATTAGTGATAACAGCGACGAAAACTTTATAAATTGACGTATTTTGTTGTTTTTTGAGGAATTGAATTCCTAAAACACAAAAAGGTTATAATTTCTTTATCGCAAATTTTAGCAATGCCGTACAACTGGCCTATTTTCGCATATATTCTTCTCGAAATCGTAAAACCAATAGCGATGAAGTATTCATCTTGTATGCACCAATCAAGACGGTTATTTGGAAAATGTTGACGCATTTTTCCCCCCTACCTCCCTGCTCGTCTAACACTAGGTGCTTATCAATCACAGGAAGAACTGTCGTTTACACTTGCACCGCGAACATAACAGAATGGAATAAATGGCACGTTCTGAAGCTTTGTTTGGAGATAATTTAATTTGTGGAATAGTCTCGTCGCTGTGTGACTCAGGAATATACAGGAAATTTTCAATGCACGCTCCATGACCATAAACGCTGTCGCGATAACTCTCGTTCATATGGGGATTAAAAGTAAGGATTGTACACATGTTGCACTGGGAGCACGTTAATTGGTTATGAGCCATTCTTCTCTTTCAGAAAACTAAGTCTAGATTTATAATGTTATTTGTCGCCATTATCTTATATGATAACATCTCAACTCGATTTATTTTTTATATCTACCATCGTATAGTTCAAATGAAAAATAAAAAGTAAATGCTCATGTTTTACATCACCGATTTTCGAAAAAAATAAAGCGAACAGAACGAGAAACTGCTGATATTTTTTCGCAGAACTAAAAAAAAATTGATGTGTAAAAATAAAGCCCATACCACTTGTTCACTTTATTCCAAAAATGACAAGTTCGTCAATATGTTTTTATACGATCTAGCTGAAATATTGAAGTGTAAATCAATAACAACAATGCAAGCATGAAGTATTCTGAGAGATAAAGCACTGGTATTAAATAAACGAAAAAGTGCAAACCCTCTCAAATGAAACTTTACTGCGAGGCGTATTTCATGTATCATTTAAAAGTGTAGAGTCAGTTGCACGCAAAAGTTTTTATTCATGCAGGCTTTCATGAAAACATATTTAAAGTCACTCTTGCGAATGATAGGATATGTAGTCTTAAAGGATGTCTATGCGAGTATTTAAGATTCATCTAAAATGTTTGTTCGTTATTGCAATATTGAAGTGGATATAAAAATGAATTAGTTTTCCCATTAATTTTAATTTGACATTTGTAAGTCTGAGAATATTTTATGAGTGAGAATCATGTCGCGCGGTGTCGAGAGGTGCTGTGGGGTGTCGAGGGATGCCGAGGGAGTCAAGGGGAGTTGAGGGGTGTCGAGGGATTCGAGGGGAGTCGAGGGGACTCGAGAGATGTCGAGCGGTGTCGAGCGTTGTCGCACGGTGTTGAGGGGTTTTGAGCGGTGTCAAACTGGCTAGGGGTGTTGCGCGGTGTCGAGCGCTTTTGAGCTGTGTGAAGCGCTGCCGAGCTGTGCCGAGTGCTTCGGAGCTATCTAGAGTGCCATCGAGCGGCGTTGAACAACGTGGAGTTGTGCTGACCATTTACCACCTGCTTTGCACGGTGTTGAGCCGTGTCGAGCGTCTCACCTGGAGTGCGCGCGGCCGGGCGCCAGCTCGAACAGCTTGGAGAAGGTGACGGCGTCGGCGTTCTCCTCCAGGAGCAGCACCGACGCGCGCTCGCACTTGAGCAGCCGCTGCGCGCGCTGCATGATCTTCAGGATCACCTGCTCCAGCGACGTCTGCTCCTCGAAGAGGTCGTGCACCACCTCCAGCAGGTTCTGCAACGCGCCGCGCACCGCGCGCCAATCGCCACGTCATTCTTTTGTTCATCGCTCACTATCTCCTGCATTTGTTTCGTTGTTCGGAGGCGAAAAAAATCCTCCTAATTCAGTATATCGAAATGTTTACAGTATCACTCTCTTACATTAATCAACAGTTATTCAGATATTATTGTGAATTACCTTTTTCATGATTTTTACTATTTACATTCATGTAAACTTCTTTGCTATGGCACTGTTTGACAAATTTCAAAGTAATTTTACAGCGAAATGTTTTGAAACGGTTATGAAAAGATTATTGTTGAGCGATTGAGCAATGAAAATTTTACAAATTAATTGCTGGGTACGATATTTTGTTCTAAGCAGGCCTTTGTGAATATAACTCGCTCATTTATCAAGTAACACATGGTGCTTATAATATTGATTGGTGTTCAATATTGGAGTCTCGCTGCTTTCGTGTTTTCAAAATATATCAAACCTTCCCTTTTAGAATTATTTTAGAAGATATTCGACTATCACTAACATCTCCCCTTCAAAGTGAATCGTATCCATTCAAAACAGATAATCTGTTAACTATTTTTATTAGAGTAGACTAATTCCATAGTAAATCGCGCAGCTAGTAAACATCTCAATTGTTAAAAACTAAAGGTTCTTTATTAGAAACAAACTGCCCTTCATTCGTCAAGTATTTCAAACGATTTTGAACCTCATTGCGCAAATGACGACAAAAACCGAGCTCTCACTCCAACTTACCCTATTTCTGTCGTACTCCTGCCGCGACGCCTCCATGATTTGAGCGTTGGTGATGGCGATGCCCACAAATTGCAAGTACGTCTCGAACATCTTTACGGGGCAAGAATAATAAAGTAATACATTAATGTTGACAATGAACAGGAAAACTTTATTACTTAAATTACTTCACCATATGTCGTTTTATTTTATAATGTGCCAAAAAAGAAAATAAATAATTTTGAGAGATATGTGAAGGAAATTAGAAATAAAAAAAAATAATAACTCAATTCGGTTGCGTAGGCTTCCGCGAGTTGTCTAGGCTATCCGGGACGGGCCGCGTCACTGTAATGGTGGCTAACGTTTAGGCCAGCGTTTTGTGGCCTTCTTCAGAGGTAAGGCTTCAAACGTTAGCCACCATGACAGTGACGCGGCTCGTTCCGCAGAGCCTAGACAACAATAACTCGATTCATTCAAAATAATATTAAGATTTCATTTCAAGGATTTCTAGCTTTCCAGAAGATCTTGCACATTATTAATATATAGGTAGATGTTAGAAGAATTTTTTAAAAAAAGTGATTTGGATGACAGTGGGGAGAGCTGGCAGCACACCTTCTCGTCCTTGTGGGTGAAGGTGCCGCCGTCGAGGTCGGGGTTCTTGTTGATGACTTGCGCCACCGCGATCACCTCGTCGTAGGCGTTCTTCACGGGCATGCACAGCAGCGAGTCCGTGTGGTAGCCCGTGATGCGGTCCACCTCGTCGTCGAAGCGCGGGTCCTGCGGAAAGAACAGAGAGAGTGCGCTGCCACTTAGATTCCACGATTCAATGACAAACATGCTTACAGGTCGAAGGGGACATTACGTTAGTAATGTAAACATGTTTTAAAATCAATATTTTTCTCTAGTATTTGTTGCTGTTTGCAATTCAACTTCGCAACTTATGAGACGAAGTTTGCAACTTTAACGTTATTTAGAGGCATTCAGAATGAGTAATAACAAAGAAATGCAATTAACAATACATTTAGCACAATATACGGGAACTTTTAAAGTACCGGAACTTATATTTTTCCCGAACAAGCAATCTCAACGGCAGTTGAAGGGATTGGGTTGATGTACTGACCATGAGGATGGATTACGGGCACCGAATCCACGAGAACAGCTTGAAATTTAAGTGTTGGACACTTGAATGAAGGTTTTGTCGGGGAAAACCCATCAAGTTTCTTTTTTAGATTAATACAGAAAGCCAAACAATCTAGACATGGAAAAAGTTGTAATCAGGGTATTTCCAAATGCGACGTCAGGGCATTATCCATTTCAGTTATTTTTTCAGCTCAAATTTCTAAAAGTATGTACTAAGTAATTGTCGTTAAAGCTAAGCAATAATTGAACTCAAAACCACATACAGTCTCGCCAATTCTGCAGCCTTTCATTTATCGTGTGGTTACACGAATTAATTCATTTCAACTATCGCCGTAGAATTTAATACATCATAAAAAACGACGGAGCTACTCTGAAAGGTCACAATCCGCACAAATATGAAAACGAAAACCTCCTTTAATACAGGTTTACAGGGCAAGCAGTAGTAGAAACTCTCGCCCTAATCGACCAGAGGGTCTCCAGGAAAGAGCGCGCAGCGGCAGCAGCAATCCCTCAGCGCGTATCACGACGACGCGCTCCACCCGCGCGTCTCACATGCAGCGGTGCGTCGCGCCGCGTGTCACGACGCGTCGCTCGCGAGCGCCAGAAACGTTCCATCACTCGCCGCAAGGGGCGCGCCTGGGCCGCCCCCGCCGCCCCCGTATTTTTCTCTCCGCGGCAGGCGGAAGGTGTGAGGTCGCGGATGACGGGCTCGAAGGAAACAGGTCGCGACTGGGACGCGACTCCAGGGAAGGGAATACAATGCAGGAAGCGACGAGAAAGAGAGAGAGAGAGAGAGAGAGAGAGAGAGAGAGAGAGAGAGAGAGAGAGAGGATAGGTGAGACAAAAGATAAAGAAGATATAGAAAAGAGAAATAAGAGAGGATAGTTGAGACAGAAGCGAAAGAAAAGAGAGATCAGAGAAGTAGACTGGTAAAGAGAGCAGAGAGTGAGAGGAAAGATGAGAGAGAAGAGCGAGGAAAAATAGACGAGAGGTAGGTAGATAGGGCAGAGAGTAAAATTGGATACATGAGAGTGGAGATTAGATAGGTAGAGATAGCAGAGAGGGGGAGAGGGCAGAAAGAGAAAACAGACAGGAGATTAGATAGGTGGAGAGAGCAGAGTGAGAGAGGCCAGATGAGAGAGAGGAAAGAGGAAAGAGATAAGAGAGAGGAAAGAAAAAAGGGATTGATAGAGAGAGAGAAAGAGAGACAAGGCACCACGCAAATTTACGTAAAGAAGGATGCAGGAACGACAAGCTTGTTACGAAGAACGAGAAATGCTATTATTTAGAGTGCAAGTGGGAATAGAAAGAAGAAATCTAGTATACAGGGAAGGAACGTCTGGAGAGGAGCCGGGTCGGATGTAGGTACTTTGAGGTTCTTCGGATAAAATCGTGTTGACTTCCCAGTGGAAAAATATATTCCTAATATAATAAAAATTACTAACTGTATTAGAACAATTTTTTGTTCAAATAGAAATTAACACATTGCTATTGTAATATAATTAAATGTATTTTATATATTTTATTTAAATACATTTGGAATTTCTTGTGTACAAATACTCGTTAAGTACAGTACATTAATTTGTGAGAAATTACTTTACAGACTGTAACATACTTTGTCATTATTTCTGACATTTTTTTTGTTTTTATATACAATTTCCTCCCTGGTGAGAAGACAAATCGGGAACGATGAATCGGAAACTAACTGGGGAAAGACGGTTCAGTATACCGGGAAGGAACGTCTAGAGAGGAGCCGGGTCGGATGTAGGTACTTTGAGGTTCTTCGGAGAAAATCGTGTTTACTTCCCCGTGGAAAAATATATTCCTAATATAATAAAAATTACTAACTGTATTAGAACAATTTTTGTTCAAATAGAAATTAACACATTGCTATTGTAATATAATTAAATGTATGTTACATATTTTATTTAAATACATTTGGAATTTCTTGTGTACAAATACTCGTTAAGTACAGTACATTAATTTGTGAGAAATTACTTTACGGACTGTAACATACTTTGTTATTATTTCTGACATTTTTTTGTTTCTATATACATTCCTTCCTGGTGAGAAGACAAATCGGGAACGATGAATCGGAAACTAACTGGGGAGAGGCAGTTCAGGAGCGGAAGAGCCAAAACTGTCAAGTCGGGGATCGACGGAAGCAATCGCGGGAGATGTAGGGAGTGACAAAGAAGACTGGGCATGGTCGAAACGTTATGTGCTGAGTCAAATTGAACAGATCAATGCAATGCACAATCAGGGTGCGTCAATGCTTTCGAGAAAAGGTCAAAGGTCAAAGTGATGGGGGCTGTGAAAAAAGAGAGTCAATAGGTTCTTTGAAGCACCCCGTCGAACGGGAAGAAGGGCGATGTTACACACGGTGCGGAGGGGAGGGGAGCGGAGCGGAGCAGAGCAGACTGGCAGGCAGGCGACACCGTGGGGCCGCCCCTGTGACAGGGCCAATCCCGTTCGGCGCCGGGACTAAGCGAGAGCATCTCATTACCGGGTTGGCCGCGGGGGCGCGCTGTCTCCGAAGACGGATGGCGGTGGGGCCGGCTGGCGAAGAGGGGCTTATGGAGAACGGCAGACGGCAACGAAGAAAAAAAGAAAAAGAAGAAGAATACGATTGGGAAGAGTGACTACAAACCGGAGGGAACAGGGAAAATAAAAAGAAGAAATTAAGTTTCATCTAATAAGGCAAGAGATCGTTAGAGATTTTCGGACCGCGAAGAAAATAAGTTTACTTGTCAAGAGCGCAGGTGAAAACCTGAAAGGACAACATAAATTGCAAGGTCGTGGAAGTGCTTTTTTTAATACGAATAAAACAACAAACAGAGGCAAAAGACGACAGTGCGCTGAAATACGGGTCAGGGCGTCGGGAAAGGGCGGTAGGTACACAAATGACGAGCGAGGAACAGGGCCGCGGAGGAGGCGAAGGCGGTGAGGGCGGCGGCGCCCGTGGGACGTGAGTTCCATGCCCGGGGCCGCACGTCCGCCGGGTATTTCCTGCGGGAACGCGGCAGGAAAGTGTTTCGGGGCCAAGACGTGCCGCGCCGCCACGGCTCCGCGCCCCAATTGGATTTTTGCACGCGCCGGCGCCGGCGCCGCGCTGCGGAGGAAGCGCCCGCCCCACGGGCGCAGTGGCGGGGGCGGGGGCGGAAGTGGGGGAGGGGAGGACACAGAGGAAGAGGGCGGGGTGCGTAGGGGCGAGGAGAGTCCGCGGGGAAGGTTCACGCTTAGGGGTAAGGATAGGGGCACGGGCAGAGGCGAAAATCAGGGACAAGGGTCAGAGACAGGAATTGACAAAAGCTGAAGAGACACAAACAGGAGCTGACAGAGGGTGAAGGTTAAGGGTTGATGATTGAGACAGCGGCAAGGACGCAAGCTTCGTCACAGACAGGAATAGAGGTAAGGACTGACACAAGGGTAGATACAGGGAGATACAGAGATAGTGACAGAAGAAGCGACTGTGGGAGGTAGACAGAAAGGACAGTGAGGCAGTGACAGATTGAGAGGCAAGAATAGAGGCAGGGCCAGGCACAGGGATAAAGGCAAGGATGGAGGTAGAGACATTGGCTTTGGCAGGTGGAGGGACAAAGGCAGGGAGACTGGAAGAACAGTAAGTCGGAGGTAGGGACAGAGACATAGAGCTGGCACAGAGAGGCAGAGAGAGAGAGAGAGAGAGAGAGAGAGAGAGAGAGAGAGAGAGAGAGAGAGAGAGAGAGGCAAGGTAAGATGTAGGGACACACACGAAGACAGGGGTAGAGTGAGGGACTGTGACAGGTACAGAAGTCGGGACAGAGACGGAGTCAGGGGTAGGATCAGAGATGTGAGAACAGACAGAGGAAAGGACAGAAAGAGAGGCAGGATCAGGGACATGACGGAAAACAGACAATGGCGAGTATAAGGAAAGGGATACAAAAAACGTGTCTCACACGCAGAGACTTCACCAAGTGGTTTGGATTCCCTATTCCAATGCCCCTTTCTCACTGTGCTGGAGGATCGGGCAGTGTCTCCTGAAGCGCCTCCTCGCTGGGTGGAATGTTTCACCTTCTAGTATAGAAGAGAGCAAGCAAATTTGCTTTGACCTTGTAGGAAAGGGCAAATAACACTAATACTGAGGTGCAGAATCTGCAGTTATTCTATTTGTTATAAAAAAATCAGTAGTTGTTCATGAATTTTTATTACCCATAGCGATTCTCAGATATTGCCACGTCATATTTAAAGTAGACACACAAGAGAGAGATAAGGGCCGCGGAGAGGCGAAGGCGGGTGAGGGCGGCGGCGCCGTGGGCCGTGGTTCCATGCCCGGGGCCGCACGTCCGCCGGGGTATTTCCTGCGGAACGCGGCAGGAAAAAGTGTTTCGGGGCAGCAATGCAGAAATCTTGTAGGGTCCAGAGACACGGAGACCATCGGTGTTGGATGGTGAGTAGGAAGTTATTTTAGTGTGTTGGCAAAACGAGTTACGAGCATTGGGTAGGATTCGTTCGATAGGTTTCGTTGGGTGCCGCCGGCGCCGCGCTGCGGAGGAAGCGCCCGCCCCAACGGGCGCAGTGGGGGGGCGGGGGCGGAACGTGGCGGAGGGGATGGAACGAGAGGAAGAGGGGGCGGGGAGTGCGTAGGGGCGAGGAGA